TGAGTCATTTTAAACAAAAACTAAATAAGTGTAAACCGATGACGTAATGACACAAAATAATAGAAGAATATGTCTTCAAGACTACAGCAGTTACACTTGTTGCTTCTCTGCTTATGTATCTTTCTCTCTGCTTTAATAATTTATCAAAAAAATAACTATAATACGAATTGTTTAATTTTTATTATATTATTGAAGTGTTATCAATAAACTCGCTGAAAAATTGCCATTACAGTAGACCTATTATTATTTGTGTCGAACCTGAGGTCAGACAGCGACAATATATATGACAATTATTAAGAAGGAGGCGTGTTGAGTTCGACGTTCATGGTTCATCGACTGACCTCTCGCATCGGGAGAGAGAGAGGCCCATTTCTCCGAACCATTTAATTAACTCTTCACCACGCAATCTCACGGAACATTCTACGATCGTCAAATTTCATACACAACCGTTGTATCTCGATCTCAATAACAGCGACCTTTAAAACTGATTGTCCATGAACGACATAATATGCACTGCCCAAAACAATACTCAATTATTGTAATAATTTATATAAATCTTATTGTATATAAAGTAAATTATAAAGTTCTTTTTGTTTATTTATATAGTACACACAGTCAGGCAGCAAACATGCGGTAGATTTTACGTGTGCATAAGTAACGTATGTACATAATTATTTTATAATAAAAATTTTGGAAAATAGTGAGTATATTTTTTAAGAAATACATTGATGCACGAAATTCTGAGAGTATTTGAATGAGAAATTAATTACAAGTTTTACAATTATAAATTTGAATATTAAGTTTAACACAAAGATTACATAAAGGATTACAATTACACTTACTTTTCTATGAGAAATAATTTAACTCTGTAATCAAATCTGACAAATTAATGGATTGGAAAGTACATTCTTTAAATATATTTCACGTACGATGCATATGAGCTGTTTTCATTTTTAAGCGATTAAAATGTCTCAAGTGGCAAACAACTACTATTGTTATCCACGAAGCTTAACTATACGTCGCGTGAATGATTCTCTAGAGGCGAAGACTGCAGGTGAACAAGGGAGCACTTAGCGCGAAATGTTTCCTTCGCACTTACGTTCTCACGGCAGACCACATCTTTTTCGCGACCCCGTCTGTGACCTCGTCTGATACCTATATACTCGTACTCTCTCGACGCACGATGCAGCGCAGCATGGAACAAGGAAACGCGAGTATAACGTAATAAATGTATTTCTCTTAATCTTGTTTCAGTATCATATAAAATTAAGGCACGGAAGGCATCGCCGACAACATGGCGAAAGTTATCTGCCTAGCAGCTTCGTATCAGACACAGATGAGCCTGAGAGAGGCAATTGGGGACCATGGTCGACACCTAGTTCCTGTTCGCGCTCTTGCGGTGGCGGGGTCGCCCATCAAACTAGACAATGTCTCGATATTGAGTAAGTTATACTTTCCGAGCTTTTATACATTTATTGTCTGCTACCACTCAATTTGAATTAGAATGTCGCACACTCGTCCTGATAAGTGATATTCAGAGTAATGTTCAAATAAAATGTGTTGAAGATGAACTAGGCATGTACAAAAAAAAAGAAACAAATACTTTAATGTCTATCTTGTGAAATTATTGTAGAAAACGGAAATGATAGTACTGCATTTCTCATGAGTGTGAGAAATTTCAAACTGTTAATTTTTTTTTTACCGTTCTTATGACATTTCCCAGTAAGAAATTCTCTGTACAATGTAAGAAACTTCAATAAGCAAATATAAATATTCTTTTACAATTCTAACTAGATATGTACATACAATATAAATATCGTAAAATTATTATCAATATATGATGTCTGCTATGTTTTATAATTGCGCTCAAATTCATAAAACATATACGAAAAAATTTTCAAGACTACTTTGAAGATTGTTCTTCGTTAAATTTATCCAAAAGAAGACATTTCGTCTTGTTGAATTTCTCGTTACCTTTAGAATTTGCTACAATGGTATGCTCAATCCGATTCAGATTGAATTAAAAGCAGATACAAACTTGCAAAGAATTTAATCAAATCGCGATGTAATATTGTGTAAGCAGCGAATTAAATAAACTGCTAATTAAAAAAACATTGACAAATGTTGCATACTACTTGTATAATTTACAGTATAATTATACCGTGTACAATTTACAAATTTTTAATATATAAATAGTGTAAAAAGTTTGTGTTGAAAAAGTATAATAGTATTTTTTAAACAAACTTTAAGCTCCTGTAATATTATTAATATTCATTTCTTTACGTTATATTTAAAAAAAACATTTTTATTGGAACGTGTTATAATTAGAAATTTTATTTAAATAAAATGATAAATTGCGACAAAAATTAAATATATATAATATACACGAAATCGTCAACCAAATCTTTTTACAGTGCGCCGCCGTACGTCAGCCGCGATTAAATTTGGGATAAATCAACAAAACTTTTCTCCTAGCACACGCCAACGTAACAGATCCTCCGTAAATCCTTCTTATCTCAAAACTAAGGGAAGATTAATCGTAGGCACTTACACGTCTCTCGACGTCACGCTATCTCCAGAAAATTCTCACAATTTTCCATCGTAAAGACGAAGTTGATTTTACACGCGCCGCGATTACGTATGTAAAGTAAGAAGAATCGGAAGAGTGACCGATCAATAATTGACATTGTGTTATATAGTGTTGATCGGGACAAGCTCATCGCTAATGATACATTATGGATCTTAGAAAGCGAGATAATCATACCTAATGTGAAAGCGCGTAATGCACGTAATGCCGGCGCATCGTATTAGACTCCTCACATCGAATGCATCGTGTCACGCAGGTCAATATGAATGTATTGGCTACGATTCAATCGCGAAGGAAACGCATTATTTTTATGGTAATTGTGAATAATGTACTTTCTGTTTCTATAGTTGATATATAGTTTTGATCAATTATAGAAATTGCGAATTAAGCATAAATCAAGGAAACGGTTATATAATTGTATATTTTTTTAAGTATTTCATATTCATATTAAAAGTGATCTGAAACAAGCGTTTTTATAAATAATACAATATTACCATTATGTAATGTTAGCACTAAATTATAATAAAACTTCGAAAATGCATACAATGTAATTACTTACGTACATAAATTGTACGTATAACGTTAATAAAACACAATATGTAATACTGCAAATCGTAACTATGTAAATTTTGAAATCTTCCACTAAAATTTTATCGAGCAAAAAGCAATATCTACCTTAGGAAGAAAAATTTTTTAATGTTAAGTCTTCTTGCGAAATAAGTAAACAATATTTAGCAGAATACTTCGGAAATTTAATAAAGCGATAATCTCTTAATATGGTTCTTAATCTTGTCCCAAGAAACTTGACACTCAGACGTGTAAAATATATTATATAAGCCACTATTGACCATGTTTCATTTTTTCCTGTACAAATTTTCTAGTTTACATGTTTTTTAACTAAGAGACGTAGAAAGATCTATCTACATCCTTTTTTTCTTTTTCTTTTATAAAAAAAACTTTTTAATTAAAAAGATAAATTTCATTACAATAGATAATTTACTATCATAACTCACTTTTTACCAAATTTGACAAGAATAAAAATTTTTAATGCATAATCAAAATCTAAATGTAATCTGCTGTAGAATAAAATTAAAGTGAGAAATAATTATAAAGAATGCATAACTGTAAAGAATGCATTTTGCAATATTAATGTATGTATATGCAACCGTATATGTCCCTTTTGTTACACATCGCATATGTATCTTGTCCTTCGAATAGTTGTTATGTTAATTGTATGTTAATTGTTAAATAAATCCAATTGTTTATCGTTCATTATATTATTAATAATATCGTTTTTTACGGTGCTATAATTATGATCAGTGCGAATTTTGATTAAGCGAATGAATAAATATCTATTATATTTGAAGTATAACTAGAACAGAAATGATTAAATTTAATTAGTGCGGAATTACGTAAATTTTTTAATTTTTACACAAAGATTTATTCTTATAAACATTAAAAATCTTATTAGACTGTACATATGAGAATTCTTATTTCTTATTGGTTTTGTTCTTATACTATTTATTACTTGATAAACATACAATTATGATGTACCTGAGAAAGTAACAAAAGTAACGAAAAGTTTGAGCTAGTAATATTCTTTCTTAACTTCAGACTCGATCATTTATCACAAAGTAACACATTTATTTTATAATGTTGCAGTGATAGTGGTCATGACAAGTGTACTGGTGCATCCAGAAGATTTTTCTCGTGTAATATTCAAGTAAGTACGAAAAATTATTATAATTAACACGACTCATAATTATTTTATTCGTGATAAACTTATTCGTTGGATGCGAGTGATTGCGTCTTTCGCGACATGCTAATATCAGCCAGAAATTGTAAAAAGATTCCGTAATGGGAATATTATGGGCTATGCGAGTCGAGACAAGTACAATTCAGAACTTGATTAATTGCCTTGTAACAGCGAATGATTTATGCGATGTACTTTAATAGATCGAGTAGTCTGACAATCTATCAAAAGACCTTGGGGCAGACGCATAATGTGCATTTCAATTATTACTCTCATCTACAAACAAACTAAAATCATTGACTCGAAATTTACATTCCTTTCTTTCGATTCTTACGATTGTTATTATGTCACATATAATGACGATCCATCTATACGGAAAATTATGATTAATCTGCAATTTATTTGTGATTGCTGATCTCAATGAATAATTGATTCTCTCAGTTCTTCTATCACGTTTTCTCAAAACATAATATCCTGCCTGCTCTCAGCCTTTCAGATATCGTTCAACTAATAACACGCCAATTTTTAATCATATAATTTACGTCATTATTTAATTCGGCCCTCTTAACCAATTGCAATGCCATTAATCTTTACACATACACACCCACGCACGTGCGCGCACACATACCTACACACACCTGCACATCACTAAAAATATAATATTCAATTTAAGTTCAAATATGATATAAAAATATAATGTGGTATTATTAAACACTACAAGTTTTAAAACTTATAGTTGCTTTTTATTTATGTGGATCGTTATGAAAAATTAATTATGATTAATTAATTGCAATTAAAATCTAACGGCGTTTTGCCTTTTCTTTATGATTCATCAAATTATTGAATGGGTAGAAAACAAGCAAAAAATAAAATAGAAAATTATTTCAAGATAAAAATTATCTGTAAAAAGATATATGCCGCTGTTACGCAATTATGAAACTGAACTAAGATAATATTACGTAGATATTACTTCTGAAACTGATACGAGAGAATCGATCACTTTTCCTGAATTGACAGATTGTCATTGAGTTTAATGGAACGCAAACGTAAATTGTACATTACTATTAAAATATTTCGAAATTTATTGCATAATAATATTAGATAACACTCTGTTTGACAAAAAGTTTCACTTTTCTTTTGTTAAATTGATCTGACAGGATATGGTAGTTTTTGCTGATTTGAAATCTGTTTCTTAAATTTATATATGAAAAAAGCAGGGTTTTTGAATAACATTTAAAAACTTCTTTACTTATCTGTCCTGTTTATTGTTATACATAAATTATATAATGATTTAAAGAAAATAATATTAAATTTAACATGATTTTTTTACTCTTAATAAAAAGACTTTAAATAAAAATTAATTAATTTAATTAAGAAAAATACTCCATACGACGAATTGTTAGTAAATTACATAAATTTTTAAAAAGAGATATGTCAGTTAAAAAAATTGGAGCTCGTAGGATAAATACAATACTTCATTTTTAGAATCAACATGAACGAAACATACATAAATCAATTAAAATGACCCATTTAGCAAAATCAGTGTCGGTCAGTGTAGTTGATAAATATTATTAAAAATTCTGTAATAATAAGCCTTTTATTTGAAATGTATTTTATATTATATATTTTTAACATAACATTAATTAACTACATAAATCTATTTAAAATAACGCACACAAACGGTATTTTCTTCGATTTCTTATAACCCCCTTTTCCTCCTTACTAATATTATAATGAAAGTTATAACTTTTATAACTTTGATACAAAAAACAAATTGGATAACGTATTTTTATAAGAAAAAAAAAACAATATTAATAGGAACAAATATTAACAGTCAAACTTTAAATACGAAGCGCCTTACAGTCCCGAGTGTTAAGATGTTGAACTAACATTCATTTAAATTGAATTAATTAAAATATTAATATTATGATTTGTGATAATGTATTATATAAGCATATCATTTAATAACGAAACTGCATCCGAATACATATTGTATCAGTGTTTTTTCTGTGTTGTGTGCGTTTTATGTGTTTTTATGACGGACTACAGAAGATTCATGAACGGAAGTCTATTATATGTGGCATTGACTCGCGAAGTATTAACTTTGTTAGAGCTAGATGCTAACTAGAACACAAATAGCAAGGTACATCGCTATACAAGTTCTATAATTGAGAGAGCGATGTTATTGACATTTATTTCCTGGAAAAACAGTAGTTGCATCTTATTATAAAAAACTATAATTATATTTATTGTAGATTATATAAATTATTAAAAAATAATTATTTCTGTATGAAATATTATTTATATATGTAAGATGACATATAAACAAATAAACATACAATTAACGTAAATTAGCAACATATAGTGATGATTCTAATGTTTTTGCCGTCGTTTTTATATCTCTCTTGTATGTTATCCTTGTCTACGTATGTTTCCGCTCTATTGCATCTTCGTAATAAATCTTTCTCAAAAAGAATCACACGGCGTAAACCGACAGTCTGGGTACAGTCGAATATTTCATAAACAAAGCAATTTTAAGAAAAATGTTTCATGTAAAAGTTGTAGGGCTTTAACAATGCATTAATCGACGAGACTTATTTGACCTTAAGTATAGGGGAGACCGGGAACAAAAGTAACATTTCTACTTGGAAGTGTTATAACAGTTAAAATATAATATTTACATTAAAAAAGTATGTATCTTTAACTGTAGAATTTTTTTAGTAAATTTTCTTTGGTTTAATTTTTTTATGTAATTAGACAAAATCTTCTATGAAGAAAATTACAAATAATATTGTATAAAATAATACTAAAATAAAATCAAGTAAGTTTTAGGATAATTGTAACGTTACAACTGACCCACAAGGTATCGATGTCACTATTGTCCCCTAATAGTATTTTATTGAGAGATTTATTGTGTGTAAATTTTTTAAATTAAAACCTAAATAAAAATCAATTCATGCAAATCATCAACATAGATAATCATTAAAACATTAAGATAATACATTATACCTTCGTCATAAAAAAAAATTTAGATTTTGTGCACACAATAAAACTTACTTATGATGCATGATAAAAGTAATTTCTGCTCTTGTACTCATGCACATTTCGCGAGAACTAGCATGTAACGATTCATTGCCGATCTGTCTACAGAATTGTATCATGCAATTGCATACACATATCTATTATAGTTTAAGAAATATTAACTATAGTTATATTAACTATTATAGTTCAAGAAATGTTACTATTGTTACTTTTATCCCCGGTCTCCCCCCTGTATGGAGGAACTCTCAAGGTCAACTTTAAAATTTTTTAATTTTAAAACCCCTACTTTTCATTCATATTATTCTTGTAACATTTAGATTTTTTCAAAGTATTACAATAAAACTCTTTTTAATTAAATTTTGTTCAAGATATGAGTTGTGACAAAGTTCAAGTACCATCAGCATTAGCGTTATCCAAAGTATCCGACCGACAGCTAAAACTTATACCGAATGTTGTTCGGGATCATAATAAAACCTTAATAACATCTGTTAAAATAAAGATCATTGAAAATTGTTCCTCTCATTTTCATTTTTAACGTAAAACAATGATTTTGACCTTGACAAATATTGATCAAACACCTTGAATATGAATAATATTAATACTGGCGGTATCTGAACTTTTTGTCAACTCGAAAAAGATTAAATCTAAAGGAATTTCATTGTAGTGCTTTGAAAAGCTCTTGATATCAGTTACAAAAATATTGAATAAAAAGTGGGAGCTTATATTTAAAATTTTTAAATGGACTTTGAAAGAGTTTTTTCTACTTATACTCAAATAAATCTTACTGTTTGATGCGTTATTCAGACCTTATAACTTCGTAGGTATATAAAACGTTTTTCTCAAAAATGTTTTATTTAAAGGATATTCAACTGTATCCAAATTTTGGGCCTACCTTGTATATGGTGCATCAGTTTTCTGACGTAGTGCGAGAATTATTAATAAGTATAATATAATTCATTTTGCACGTATTATTGGCTATGTACTTTCAATTCTTAAAAAAATTTTTTATAACATGTCGTTTTATCTTTTAGCGACATAAATAAATTTTGTTTAATGTAAAACTTTTAAAACATAATTATCCAAAAAGAATTATGGTTCTTATTAATGAACTGAAATTATTAATGAACTGAAATGTCATGACATAATAATTCTACAAATTCTATATTGTTGCCTTGCTATATTTTTACTAGTGTTTCATTCCGTTCGCAAGAAAGAATCTTATACCATAAATTTTACGCTGTATCCTCATGCGTAGTACCGGTCCCATCGGAGTATCTTTTTTTCGTTTTTGCTAAGATTCCACTCGATTTATCGATGTTACTTGCCTCACAGATCTGCTCTCCAATGTGAAGCACATCTATTTCTGGCTCATTTTATTTTTACAAGGCGTTCATGAAATAACACAATACATTTATTTCATAGTATTTCATAGTAAACAAGGATAAAATATGTAAATCTATCAGTCTCATCACTCAAGTTACCAAAAAGAGTTGGCAATTAATTTAGATATGATGTAAAAATTAGTCAAAAATAATTCGTAAATACTTGAAATACGAAGCGCTTTACCGGTCCGAGTGTTAAGATGTTGAACTACTATATAATATATGTGTACACTCATTTAAATTGAATTAATTTTCAGAAATAAATTGCGAGCCGATAAAATTATATCGGATTCACACAATCAATCTGAAACAAATAATCCCCCCAAAATTTCCCAAATCTTAAAAACTATAATAAACTTATTGCGAAAAATATTGCCTCGGCCGGGAGTCGAACCCGGATCTCTCTTGCATTCCGTGCGAGCGTCCTAAGCCTTTAGACTAACCGTAATTCGTAAATAGTTTTTAATCAAAATTGATAAAGGTATGATAAAAAGGTGAAGTTAAAATTGCATGTTAAACATGTCAAGTTATAAATAATTTACTTCTTTTTTATTCTTACTACTGTAACAATATTAAGCAAATGATATATCTTATGAGATAAGATATTCAAAAAATCAAATTGATCTAAATAAAAGAAACCGTTAGCTAAAAAATAGAGATATTACAAAGATCTTTCTTCTACCTATAAGTAACATTTTTCTTCGGTTCCTTTATACAGTAATGAGATATTTTTCTCAATACGATACTTAAATATGTGTATATTTTTTTATATAAAAACTCGACATTCACCACTAATGTCTTATACCTTGAATTCGAGGTTAGAGAAATAAATTGAAAATGATAAAGCGGAGTAGAATGCGATAGAAAAGAATTTACATGAATTATTTTTGTAGTAATTTTAAGTTTTCAAGTATTCATTTTACATCGTTTTACTTTTTTTTTATTACACATTTGCAAATTAATTATGTTTGCATTATATAATTTTTATTTTTATTTATGATAAAAGTTGACCGCAGCAAACGTTATCCTTCCTGCAAAAGTATTATTTTTATTTAGTTCATTTTTTAAATTGCTACATTGACTGATATTTATTGTAACGCAAAAGTGCAAAAAGAATTTTTCGATATAATCATCACAAAATATTGTAACATGTTGATAGAAAAGATTGACAAATATTATTTATTTATTTAAATTACCATTTTTTATTACAGAAAAAAAAGTTATAATTTCTTCGTAAAACAATTCGCATTTTTGATAATTAAATTAGAATCATTTCAATTTTATTTGTTGTCTACTCGATACTACAGACTATCAAGTAATTTAAATTAAAATTTGATCTGTGCGTCAATAATTTTATCCTGTTGAATTGAAAAATCTTCAATTATACTTCTTTTTGCAGGAATGCCTTGGCAAATCGAAAGATTTTCGTACGGAACAGTGTGCGGAATTTAACAATGTACCTTTCGAAGGAATTTATTACGAGTAAGTCTCTTTTATTCTCTCTCTCTCTCTCTCTCTCTCTCTCTCTCTCTCTCTCACTTTTATTTTTTCATATTGTAAGTTTAAACTTGTTGATATATATGTATTAAATTAGTGGAGCGTCTATTTCAATACTTGTAAAAAGGTAAAATTAGTAAGTTTTTAAAAGTAAATTCTACATTGATTAAAATTTTAGTTTAAAAGCTTCCTACAAAAAAGAGAAAATCGCTGTTTTTGAAAAGATGATTTAAAAATAAGTGACTACCTTCATAATAAATCAGAATAGCAGAATTTATGCAAAGAAATATTTTTATAAAAAGCGAAAACATAATTAAGGTTAGAAACAGGATTATGTGTGTGTTTATATAAATTAATTAATTAAATACAAAAAGCATCAATTACGATCAAAGTTAGATGTTAAATTAATACATATATATACAATTTGTATATTTTTAAATAAATTTAAATCTAATTACGCGCCAACTTTCAACACACACAATCAATCTGAAATACTAATAATTCTCCAAATTTAATTTAATTAATTGGCAAAAATCATATTGAAATTTTGACAGACAAAATGTTAGTTTATTTTTTATTACATTTACTTCGACAATAATCGCATGTATAGTAATCTTTCTCAGCTTCTATACAATCAATGTGTGCCCGCAGAGCACATATTGCACTCATAATTCTTCTTTTCTATTGTTTGGGAATTTTTGATCACAAAGTATATAGGTTGTTGATCATTATTTATCGTAACTCACATGCCTGTAACATTGTATCATGAAATTAAGTTATAAGAGAAACATAATGTATTCCTACTTTATCTCAATATACCTTTTCACATATGTATCAAATCTTATATTGTATGTGTGTTTTCAAGGTTATAAACAATTTCATTAATAAAGCCATTTCTAGAAAAAATAAAAATAAATATTCATACCTGCACAAATTTTCAATTATCAAAAACCTAATAATTATATGTAACTTGTACGTTGCCTCGAAAGTAATCGTTAAATGCAGCTGTATGACGTTCAACGAAATTATCTATATGCTTGTTATCAGATAGCAGTGCTAGAGAGAACTGAAACATCGTTTATTCATATTTAGTAATTATCATTGTCCATATTTGAACCTTCTCTTCTATTATGGATACTTTTTCTTCTTCATGTGTCAAGTAGTTGAAAAGGATTTGAAAGTTCCTACCAAAAATATTATATTATGATCATACAAATGTTATTATTCATTAACATAAAATAAAATAATAAATCTTTTATTTGCCGTAATGAATTTTTTTTTACCAATGCAAAGCATTCGTTTGTTAAACAGAAGAATTAAATAATAATTCATAAGTAGAGATACATTTGATATCCGGAAAATATCCAATATCTTCTATTATTCGGTACTTTTTTTACTATCCGGTCGGATTGTCGGATGTCATTAATATCCGGAAACATATATTCGGTTTTATATAATTCGGTATTATAAAATTTTATATTGTATGTGTTATTGATGTAAAATTCTTTTTAACTAAATCTCTTGAACAGTTTATGGTTTTGTATAAGTATGATAATTCATGCCGATAATCGAAATAGATTGTCACCGAAATGCTGAAATATTATTGTCTATTATGAAAAATGTTAATATTAAATTTTGGTTACTAAGCAATATTGAAACTGTATTACAAACAACCTTATTCAACCTTATTATCGCTATTTTCCCCTTATTTTCCCTTTTTTTTTTAAATTTGGGAAAATTTATAGTGAGGGAGGGGGGATAGCTATCCGAAAAATATCTGATATCTGGCCAGATAACTACCGTATCGGATATTTGGTATAATATTCTTTTCGGATATCCGATATCCGGTATTCGATGCATCTCTATAGTTCATAGTATCCGATAATATAAAATAGGTGCAATATAATTATCGATTTTTATTTACATGTTATCATATTTATTTCCTATAGCTGGATTCCGTACATCGGAAGTCCAAATAAATGCGAACTAAATTGCATGCCACGAGGAGAGCGATTTTTCTACAGACATAAAGTCGCTGTGATCGACGGCACTCCTTGTGAATCCGAAAAGAACGATGTTTGCGTCGAAGGCAAATGCATGGTGAGTTCTGTATAATTATTTATTATTATTATAAATTTAATAATTGCGTAAAAGACGTTAGATAATTTTATTTTATTATTGAATAATATTGGCTTATGTTAAATAATAGACTTGTGATTAAATTATAATTAAAGGAAATGTAAGAGCGAAAATAGAGCTGTATTGCAATAGAATTTATTATAAAATTGTTTTAAAGCACGTCGGGTGCGATATGATGCTGGGCAGTGATGTCAAGGAAGATGCTTGTAGAGAATGTGGTGGCGATGGCTCAGATTGCAATACCGTTACCGGTTTATTTGACACAGACGATCTTCAAGTGGGTAAGTTATTTTCGTTGATTAATATTTACTAATATTAGTAACAAATATTCCATAACAAATTTCTAATAAGTAATTAAAAGCTTCATAAACTTCTTTGCAATTCTATAACTTTTAATCTATTTCTCTGCACCAATAATAGAGAAATATTGCATTTCCAGGATATATCGATATTTTACTTATTCCCGAAGGTGCAACAAATATCATTATCAAAGAAAATTATCCATCCAACAATTATTTAGGTGGGTTTAAATAAAATAAAAACTTGTATAAATATCAAACGGTAAGATAGTGCGACACATATACATATATTTAATATTAATAACTTAATATTATAAATATCAATAAATATAATACCAATAAGTTGTTTAATAATATAATTGCTGATTCCAAAAGTATTCTTGAAACTTGTTAATTAGCCATACGCAACACAACCGGACATTACTATTTAAATGGCAATTGGAGGATAGACTTTCCACGCAGTTTGCGCTTTTCTGGTACGATCTTTCATTATGCTAGAGATCCTCAAGGATTTGCAGCACCCGATACCATCACGGCTCTGGGACCTACAAATGAACCGATTTACGTTGTGGTCAGTATACATCGATTTTCTTTTGCTAGTGAAATGTTCAGAACGAGGAATGTATTAATGAGAAATTATTTTCTTTTCGCAGTTACTGTACCAAGATCGTAACGTGGGAGTGCATTACGAGTACAGCATACCTAAGAAGTTTTCGATCCGTACCGATCCGGATAGTTACACTTGGGTAACCGATGAATTTTCAAGTTGCAGTGTTAGTTGCGGTGGAGGTATTATAAGATTATAATTTTAATATGCACGCGTGATTAAAAGTGTAGGTTCTAAAATCATATTTTTTTATTATTAGAAAACGATGCTTTCATACAATACGCACAAATATTTGGAAGATTTGTTTATCTATGTTGATAATAATAAAAAAATTGTTTTGATTGGCCTTTAGCAAATTATTTTTATAATATCAAAATATTAATAAATTTATTGAAACATTGTAACTAAGTATGACTGCAATAAAAGCAAATGGTGTCCAAAGTCGAAATTTAAAAGCAAATCCGCTATAATTAAGTAGTAATAACTACAGTTGTATTTTAACAAGAGCAAATATGTTTTGTTTATTTTTCAAGGCTACCAATCGAGACGGGTAGCTTGTGTACGGAGGCGTGACAATCAGCCAGTGGATGAGAGTTTATGCGATCCGCAGTTGGAACCGACTGACATTCAAAGCTGTAGCGAAGAACCATGTCCGCCTATTTGGGTAGAAGGCTTATGGTCAACTTGCACCAAACATTGCGGCGAAGGGGGCGAACAGACTAGAGAGATAAAATGCGAACAAATCATCTCAGGTGGAATAGCTTCCGTGGTGGATGATTCTCAATGTTTGGAAAAAGTGGGACCTAAAGGGCTTACTAAACAAGAATGCAACAAAGACGTAGATTGTCCACAGTGGCACGAAGGGCCCTGGAAGCCTGTAAGTTACATTATCATATTATTATATGCAGTATTAAATTACGATGAATTATATGATTTGACGAAAGAAATCTATTTTCTTTCAGTGTGATCATATATGCGGACCTGGTAAGCAAACGAGAACAGTTACGTGTTACAAGAAGGTCGATGGCAAGATCCAAGTGTTGGAAAATGGAGCATGTGAAGCGGAAATGCCTGAAAATGAAAAGGCTTGCGAGTTGAGACCTTGCGCTGGTCTCGATTGGGTTACCTCGGAATGGAGCGGAGTAAGTTCTCTGAACCCGCGAATAACTTTTTATTAAATGAAAAAATTATCGAAATTACTTCTTTATGCTTCTCAAAGTTTGAACAAACCGATACAATTGAAAATCTTATCTTGATAGTGCGAGGAAAAATGTGATCTCATCAAAGAAACCAGAACGGCCCATTGTGCTACTCAAGATGGCACAGTTTATCCAGATAATTTGTGCGATCCAGATAAGAAGCCAGAATTGGAAAGAGATTGTGATAAAGCTAAAAATTGCGATTTTCAGTGGTTCACCTCGCAATGGAGCGAAGTAAGTAAATAAACATCTTCTTGCGCGTCCATTACCTTAAAATCATCCGTTTACCTTAAAATAAAAATATATACATATATAATATTTTAAGAGACAAGTATATACCAACGAATTGCCTAAGCGTTAGTAATATCCTCTGAATTAAACATTCTTATATCCCTTTTAATTAATCTTTACAGAACGGTCACTATAGTAGCGCTGAAATAGTGCCATATTTTGAGGCAAGAAATAATCATATAATAAATTATAAATCTTACTAAAGAAAAAGCTATAAAATTTTTAACAGATTCCCGATTCTTTAAAGGTTAAATATATAATAATAAAATAATGTATTTTCTTGGTGTTTTTCATCTTTATTGTACATTTTCATAGTGTTCAGCAAAATGTGGATACGGCGTTCAAATGCGCAAAGTATTCTGTGGCACTTTTAGCAACGATATTGTGAAGAAAGTTTCGGACGAAAATTGTGACCCCCAAAAAAAATTTGAAAATATTAAAAATTGCACCGCTGAAGAACCATGTAAAGGCGAATGGTTCGCAGGGCCTTGGAGCAAGGTTTACTTTAATTTTTAATTATTTTTGCGATAATATGTAACATTCTTATTTTTACGGTTAATTGATACTGCTTTGTTTAAATTTACTACTATAGTTTTGTAAAGCTTGATTTTTATGATTCAGATTTATTATAATAAATTTTTCAAAATGTAATCAACGATAATATGTTGCAGTGTTCGAAGCCATGTGACGGTGGCGACATGACTCGTAAAGTAATTTGTATGAAGGACAACAAAACCGTACCTGTGAATCAGTGTAATGCCGACAATATCATATTCTCTACTGAAAAATGCAATGATCAACCTTGTGAGGAAGGTAATAATTAAACTTAAGCTTAAACTTTACATTTTTAAATAAAATAGTTTAATATTTAACATAGATAAAATAAATAAAGTACGACGACAATTATAAAATAAATAATTTTTACACAAAAAGAAAATATTTTTTTAAATCACAATATAGTTAAAAAGATTTATATCAATAACTTTAGAAAGTAAATTAGTTTAATTAACCTATTGATTAAAATTTTAAAATTTATTTATTTTATAGTATATAATATGTACGTCATTAAATGATATCGCCTTATTAACAAATCTATTAAACTATCTTATTTAGAAAATAAATTCTATCATCAATATTGTCTATTTATTTTGAAAATCTCTTAAATGTTGTTGTCGTTTTCATCATTACAGATCATAAAGTATATTAATATTTGCTTCATTACAACGTAGGTTACGCGATTTATTATGACGTAAACCTTTTCATTATAGGCTACGAGCATAAAATATAGAATACGCCTAGAACAGCAGGCGTGAAAATAATGAGGTTCGTGGTATTAAATTCAAACGTCTCAGTACTTATTCTAAAGGGCGACACGAACCACCTACCGTGAATAAAATATCACTTATTCTCTGTAGCAAGGAAAATTAAATTTTCGATGTTCTTTCGAAACTAGTTAATGATAAATAGAATGCACGAATAGAATCATCCAATGTTACAAGTTTTCATGTGCATATTTTTAAAAGACTCGTGTTAAGAATTTAAATTGTTAAGGATTTCTGTAAATTTGTTATTTTGGTGAATACAGGCGTGACACTAATCGACGAGAAGCCAGATGAAATGATAGACTCGAAGGAGGAAGAGTGTGAGGAGGAAGAGGAAGAAGAACAATATGCTGTTGACTTCAGTCTTCCTGCGGGGGTAAGTAAAACTGGGTCGTATTTAATCAAATATTAAGTACGACTGAGTTACTTCGTAACTTCATTTCTTATTATTTTACCGTTTCAAAGAGTCGTCAGATTTGCAATATTCAAATAAACCTTTCCTTACGCGCGGAACAATCTGATAACGCGGAATTCTTTCGATTTTACTCTCGCCGAGAAAAATCGAATAGTTGTAACACTGAAGCGTCTTTTCTCGTTTCAGAAAGTGACAATGGGCAAACTAATAGAGCAAACAGAAACAACAACTCCGAATTTATTATTTACCGGAAGTGACACTTACGACATTATGTTTAGTGATTCTACGAGAGGCGATATATCACTTTCCGAATTGGGTAGCGGCGAAGGTAGTGGTGACGATAATTTTACCATGTTTGATACTAGCTTATTCACCGGCAGTACTATCGACATTGGTTCTACCGTTGTCGAAGAGAGCGAAAGTTCAATTAGTGGAATTACGACGGAAGGCAAAACCGGCACCACTGAATTCGGAACAGATGTAAATGAATCATCGGACATCACCGAAAGAACTGACGTAACGCTCGAAGGATCCGGTACCAGCTTTGAAGGATCCGGTGCATCTACAGACGAATTTACTCAAGAAACTCAAGTCTCAGTATCGGAATTCGATAGTATGTTTCGCACATTATGTCGTATTATATTATATTATAGATATTAGTATATTTCCAATATTAATATATTAATTTATTATAGTCTTTAAAATTAACCGATTATCCAAATTGATGTATGTAAACCATATCAAATCACCATATTAGATCATAATGTTAAACCATAATGTTAATTGAATACTGTTGAGTATATCGTTTATAAAATCATTATTGTCTTATGTGTATATATTTGTTAATTTTATGTTGAATCAGGGACAACAGAACAATCAACAGATTATTCCATCACTAGCGAATTGGTTAGCAATATAGATATCGAATCAACTGTTAGTAAAAATTCAGAAACAACAATTGAATCCAGTGATACGACAACCGATTCAAATGATATAACAAGCAATACAAACGAATCAGATGATACCGATATCACTACCACTTCAACAGAAACCATTAAATCCACTGAAACAGATACAACAGGTACAACAGATACAACAGATACAACAGATACAACAGATACAACAGATACAACAGATACAACAGATACAGCCGATACTGAAACGACCGATTCGACAGAGAGTGAAACAACAGCAACTACTGAATCTACAGACACGACCGAGTCTACGCAATCTCCACCAAGTACACTTTCAGAATTATCTTCATCAGAAACGGAGATTACAGTAACAGAGAAAATAGAAACGACTGCAAGCGAGATTACCACATCCGGTAAGTACAATATATTAAAAATAATAAAACTGTTTATAACCTGAATTTAATATCATATAGAGATCGATGTAATTAAAATACTATTATTACTATTTTATTGTTTTCAATTTGTTATTTAAATTTAAATAATGCACATGCACAATCTTTCAAATGTATTTTACAAGATTTTGAATACATAAAAATTACTTTATACATAAAAATGCTTGAAGAAACACTTATAGATATTCTTTTTATAATGTAAGCAAAAAATTAAATTAATTTCATTATCAGCAAGTTAAAAGTGCAAATTATAAATTAATTATATTTTGCAGAAACAACGATGACATCAACAATGATTTCTCAGCAAACAACAGAATTGAAAGTACAAGGAGAGTACGATTTTAATTCGGAGGAACAGAGTACTGATGCCATAACTACGGTATCAAGTCAAACAGATGAGAGTTACACTACAAACACTAGTACAGAAAACACTATTGTTTCTGAGACGAGTCCATCGGATGAGACTGAAACAACTGGTAGCGAAATAACTGAATCGGGAGAGACAACTGAGTCCAGCACTAGCACGGGATCGGCTGAGACAACAGAATCCGGACTAACGACTGAATCTAGCGATGTTACGACTTCAAGCGCAATTGTCGAATCGGACGCAACAGAATCTAGTGAGGCTACCATCACAATTTCTACGGAAACGGAAATTACGGATACTACCGAGTCAATTATAACGTCTAAATCAAGCGAGACAACTGAATCATTAATTACAACATCGTCTTTTGAAGAGACAACAGTATCTGGTGAAATCATTGTGACAGAAATTACGTCCTCCACAATTAGTGAAGAAATTGATCTTACCGAAAAGACTCATAGTAAGTCTCGAATAGTATAAAACAAATGTTTCTTTTTTATATTAATATCAACATAATTTCAGTCACAGAGGTATGGACAACCAGCTTCCCAGATATAACGGCGCACAAACGGCAATGCAAACCAAAGAAGAGCTGCAAGAAAACATCGTTCGGATGTTGCTACGACAATATCACTGCTGCTCAGGGACCATTTGGTCATGGTTGTCCGATGCCGCAAACATGCAACGAGACACGATATGGTTGCTGTTCCGATGGCGTGTCACCAGCCATTGGTCCCAAGAATAAGGGTTGTCCAGACTCTCGTTGTAATGAATCACTTTTTGGTTGTTGTCCCGATGGTGTTACTACAGCGCAAGGCAACGATTATGAAGGATGCAAGAAACCATGTAAAGAAACAGAGTTAGTTTTTATTTTTATAAAGTAAATTCTTCAAATGTATCATCTTAATTTTATAATTTAATCGCTTGTCCATTTAAACGCGTAGATTTGGATGTTGTCCAGATAACGAGACTGCAGCTAGTGGAAAGGATTATTTGGGATGTTGTAATGTAACTGAATTTGGTTGTTGCCCAGATGATATTAAAGCCGCTTCTGGTCCTAACAGCGAAGGTATATATTTTGCTATTTTGCCTTTGTATCGTAAATTATATCCCACGCCTTATATGTAAGAATATATTACAATATTTGTATGCCATATTTAGATATTTCTGAAATTGGATCAATTAGTTATATTACATGTATATTATGTACATATATATGTATAATATATTATGCATATATTTTCGAATGTTTTAAATAATGAGTATATGTTGTGTGGTAAGGTTGCGAGGAAGAAGTCACTTCTGAAACGGAGACATATGAAATAACAACACAACCTGTTTCACTCGAAGATTGTGCAAATACCACTTATGGTTGCTGTCCTGATGGTATTACCATTGCAACTGGTATCAATTTTGAGGGTTGCGGTGTTATTAATATCGAAAATTGCAGCGCGTCTTATTTTGGATGTTGTCCTGATGGAGTTTTTGCGGGTTAGTTATATAATATGTAATAATAAATTAATTAACACAAATTTTGTAAGAATTATTCATAGAATTTGTTGAATCGGAAAAGATATTAACATTATCTGTTAATATATTGGAACATAATATCACATTAACTGTGAAATAATATTTTATAATGTTTTGTGCGTGCGTGCGTGCGTGCGTGTGTGTGTGTGTGTATGTTATTGGTGGTTCCATCATACGTGTTTTATTAATTAATCAAATAGATAATCGAAACAAATTGGTTAACTATTCTAAACTTATTTGTATATGTCTGTGATTGTTTCCACAGCTCTCGGACCGAGCAACTATGGTTGTCGTATGCCATGTCACGACAGTGTTTACGGATGCTGCGAGGATGGAATAACGCCGGCACATGGACCAAACAACGAAGGTTGCTGCTTATCGACACCATACAAGTGCTGTCCGGATAACAGTCTGCCAGCCCGTGGGCCAAACTTCTACGGCTGTGGTTGCCAATACACGAGATTCGGTTGTTGCCCAGATAATTCAACGGTAGCGCGAGGACTAAACAACGAGGGTTGTGGCTGTCTATACACACCTTATGGTTGTTGCCCGAATCGATTTACTCCCGCCAGCGGACGCAATTTCGAGGGATGCCCGTGTTACACTTATCAATTTGGATGTTGTCCCGACGGTATTACTATCGCCAAGGGCTCTCATGGTCAAGGTAACTCCACGATCAACATACAAATATGGTACATATATAAAATCCAAATGTTGAGAGTAATTCAAGCATAAGAAGAGCTGAAAATTACATACATTTTGTAACGCATTGTATAACGTTTACAGGCTGTGGATGCGAGAATACGAAATATAAATGTTGTTCAGATGGTAGAACACCTGCTAAAGGATCAAATTTTGCGGGCTGTACTTGCGACGCATCGCAATATGGATGCTGTCCGGACGGAATTGAGGAAGCTCAAGGAGAGAACTTTGAAGGTTGTATCACAATACCTTCGGTGCCCGGTGCCGCATGTGGATTGAAAAAAGACAGAGGCTCTTGTCGAGATTTTACGGTCAAGTGGTTCTATGATACCGACTACGGTGGTTGTTCAAGATTTTGGTACGGAGGTTGCGAGGGTAACGAAAATCGATTCAAAACACAGGAAGAATGTAAAGAAGTTTGCGTTCAACCAAAAGGAAAAGGTAACTCTGAATATAATATTTTACACATAATGTGTAATATATAATTAATTGTTTTATATATATATATATAGATTATGTTTCTTTGTAATATAAAATTAGAGAACAAAATATATATAATATATTTTTTACCTTATAGAATTTAGATTTTTGAAACCAATTCTATACACAACAACCTAATTACATCTATTTAAATTTTAAAACATCAAAATTCTAGACTCAACATTCAAACAACAAATCATTGGATTTATTTTGCAGCTGCTTGCTTTTTGCCAAAAATCTCTGGTCCTTGCGAAGGATATCATCCAACGTGGTATTATGATGCCGGCAGAAAGCAATGCGGTCAATTCGTCTATGGTGGTTGCCTCGGC